GGCATTGCAGTGTGCTGTAGTCGCTTCCTTTAGTGCAGTTTGCTAGGAGTCCGTGGATTTCGGGAAGGTTTTCATCCGCGGCGACGTTGCAGAGGTTGTGGACGCGAGTGGCCAGGTTGACACCGAATTTGGACGTGAAGGTCTTGGTCCCCCGAGCGCGTTCGAAATCCAGTTGTTCTCGGTTGACGTTGGCGAGGGTATTTTGGATGTTGGCTACTCCGGCGTTGAAGGTGTCGTTCGTCAGTCCAGGTCCCGTAGCGCCCAGGGCGGTGAGCAATGGTCGAGTGACGAGATTGATGCAGCGCTGAAGGGCCATGACATTGGCAGGTAGAGGCGAATGTTCTCCAGTGATGCGAAGGAGGGATCCGTTTGCGTCGCTGGTGCAGACCGCGCGAAACCATTGGACGAGAGGGATAATGGCGTTCTGTCGGGCTGCATCAGCATGCGTGATTTCCGGGCCTAGGATAAGGTTTCGGAACTGGGTGATAGAGTATCGCCCGGTAGGCACTTGCGTGAGGACTCGTGAGGTCAGGTAGTGCGGAATGGGCATGAGGCGACGGGACCGGTAGGAGTCCACATCTGCCTCGTCGTTCCCATGGGGACCCGAGTGAAGGTTCGGTGGATCCGCACCCAACATGTCCGGGCCATCAAGATACGCCAAGGTCTTGCAACGAGTGTCGGCGACGCGTTGGAAGCTGTCGTTCGGAAGGATCACAGGGGCGATGGTGTGGAGGTCGTTTCCAGTGAGTACAACTGAAAGATTGTCGTACGGAGAGACACGTTCGAAGTCAGCTGGGTAGGTGAACAGGGAGTGTCCGACGTGGATGTAGTCTTCATCACCGTCAAGTACGAAAGCGATGAGGAGGGGTGACCGAGTGACGGCAGCACACAGTGTGGCTTGCGACGCCCGACTGTCTGTGTTAGCATTGGCACCAACACGGTTGAGAAGAGCGTTGTAGTCAAACTCATGAACGTCCCAGTGGTTGCCGCGGTCGACGAGAGTAGAGAATAAAGCGTTGGCCATGGTCGAGGATTTCGAAGAGATTTAGACCCTGATGCCGACGCAAGAGGTTAATCTATTCTAGTTCTAGCTTGCAGCTCGGCTGAAGGAAGAATTGTGATCAGAGAAGGAGACAACCTTCTTGCGATCGACTGTTCAATGGCTGAAGGAGAGAGTTGGACCGGTCTTGCGTGTTGTGTTCATTCACGGTTGCTATCTGTGAGCGGTCTTCGTGGGGTGCTATTGCCTTAGAGTGGATCTTGCGAAAAGGCAGTGGCAATCGACATGTATGTGGGGTATCCATTTCAGGAACGCAGGTGATGACCTGTGGAGTGTAGAGATGTACTTGTTGTGTGTGAGCGAAGTGTGGGAGTAGATTCGTATTTTGTGAGATGGTACCAGTCTGGCAACTGTGAGTCGAGTCATTCATCGAAGAACCCATGAGGGTTCAGGTTTCCACGCCGGTCAGCGTGGATGGGTAGGGATCGGGATCGTTTGTCTTCTTTGGCGTGCGGCTGCTCGACAAGGACTAGACACCGGAAAGTCCCACGCTACTGATCAGTTGTTACCCACGCGCAACGGCCAATATGTACTCACGCTCCGCCACACAGAACAGCATAAAGTCCCAATTGACAGTTCATAAAACTGTATTGCCGTCAAAGAAAGAAAGGCAAAAAGAAACCATGGGAGTGCAAGACGTCAAGACCATCCAAAAGGCTGCTGCAGAGGCATTCTTGCAGTATCGACTGGAGGAAATGGACGCCAAACTGGACGCCATTGGACAACAGCTGGAAGGCATGGATCAAACCTTACAATCTCAGTGGGAGAGAGTGGAAGCACATGGTCGAGACCTGGAGACCGTCCAAGCTCACGTGCAAGAATTGCAAGTCAAGATGCAACGGCACGCGCAAGCCGCCAAAAAGTACAGAGTCCCTCGAAAGAACAATGTGGCGTCCGAGTCGGAGGAGGCCTCATGATGTTGGCTTGGCGGATAGAAATAGGCACACATTGTAAAAATAGAGCAAGCACAGTAACACCCTACAGAACCGAGACACCGTGTGTCGGTCGTCATCTTCTCCTTGCAGCGTTGCCTTGGGTGTAGACCTTCTATGGATCAACGTCTTCTTGGTTTGTCAGTCAAAAGTCAAACACTCCTACCGGTACAGTAGGATAGAATGTTAGCAAATAGGCCTGGACACGCCATTTCTTCTTCTCCCTCCTATTGAAGTTGTGGTGGTTCTCTGCTCAATCGAAAAAGACAAAGGCCCGAATCTCAATACTCTGCCGAGGCACGGATACGTCTCCCACCCCGTCCAATGCCGTATGGATGGTGAATTGGTTCTTGTCCGCGCAGGAATCAAATGTCTTGAAAATGAGCACTTCCTTGGCAGTCAACAATTGGGGAAAGTAGTACCACTTGTGGTCGGGACTGTACAGAGCCATTTGGAGCTCCCCAATCCGATTCTTGGCTACTCGCTTGACCGAAATCAACTCCTGATGAACGTTCATACTGGTGGAATCGCAAAAGGCCAAGGGGGAACTCTGCACGGTCGTTCCCGCAATGGATCTCCACAAATTGACAATGGCAAATCGCTTTTGCGATAAAGAGGGTGCTTCCTCGGGGAGCATGTCATACAGGCGTTTTGTGGCGGATTTTCCCGTGTAGTCATTGTGGACAATGGCCGATGGCTCTCGACATTGAAGCCTTTGTCGCAGTGCGGCCGTCGAGGCACGGCGTGTATGATCAAAAATCTCCACTCTTGTGGCCCCTTTTATGTGCTTCAACAGAATCTCCTCGACTTCTTTGTAAAAGACACTCGTAACTTGCTCCTCATTTTGGAAATCCGTCACGGATGTGGATTGATCTGCCAACAATTGAAAACCCTCCTTGTCCACGTTCCAGTTTGGATTGTTGCGTCCATTGTGGATCTCCACCTCGCAATAGCGAAACTGACCATCGTGCGCTTGGGCATGGTCCACTCCAGCCTCGGACGCGTAGTAGGTGGCCTTGCCGCCATCGGCAGTCGCCAAGTACTGGACCTTGGCTCTCAGCAAGGACTTTGGCATGATTTCTTCAATATTGTTGATAGAAGAACTTGCCAGGCAGTGCAACAAGAGGCGATGGGTCCTCGTCGGATACAGACCATCATCTTCGTCCTTGTGTGGCGTCTTGTTGTCGATGCTGAAGTTTGGTACTGGTAGGGTTCAGGCTACTAACAAAGAAACCTCACGAATAGAAAGGTGGCTCTCTAAAGAGTAGGGATATGAAGAACAACTTGGGTTTTAGAATAACTATAACGATGTCGGACTGAACCCAGCAAGGGCCTGTCTTCGGCAAAGCAGAGGCGAAATTCCAGACTCTAGCTAGAAGGTGTTCACGGGAGATAAATTAATTGAGGACCAACACAGGGGCCAAAGGGCTTGGCTTTGTGGGATCCATGGAGACATAAATGAATGAATCTTTACCAGGTGGCGGCAAGACGAATGAAGCCGATCCCCTAAGCAACATAGATGGTAGCAAAGGCTATCGACTGTAAAAAGATGCGTATTACTAGTCGATTGTAATCCACACTCCATTTTCTTTTTCTTTTAGGATGGCATGATATTGTACCATAGATTGTTGTGTTGTGAACTTTTTGTTTCCTCTCTGAGGATTCTTCTCTGATAGATTGAGTTCCTACTCACTAACTCATCCTCTCAAACGACGAATACGACTGCGCAAGGTATTGTTGTTGTTGTTCCCAGAAACGGATTCTTCTTGACTCTGTGATTCTACTATACTGTCTTCCACAGGTTGTTTCTTCTTGACTGCGGCATCAGCAGCAGCCGATGTCGCCAAGAATCGTTGATCATTGAGTGCCTGAGTAATGAGTGGCTTGAGGGTGGCCAATTCGGCACTGGCAATTCCAGGAACCGCTACACAAATGCTGGGATTGGCCATTTGTTGCCGAGTGAGTTGTTGGAATTGTTGTCGCAACTTGTCGAGACGTACTTGAGCAATGTCCTGCAACAAAAGACGAGATGCCTTGGGTGCTTGGGCCGCTTGTGAATGTGATTTCGCGGACACAAAGCGTTGTCCCAATTCGGCGTAGTAGAAGGGTAAAGTAGTAGTGTCATCACTGTCGTTGGTAGTTGTAGTTGTGCTCGTAGTAGTACTGGTAGTAGGCGTCAGAGTGGTTTGTGTGGTTTCGTGCTGTTTGACTCGTGTCAAGTTTTCCGTGGCCAGCCAGTCCAAGACTTTGAGGGAACAGAGGGATCGTTGTTGGAGCATTAGGGCGAACCAGAGAGGCACTTCCGTAGGGATGCCCGCTCGAAAAGGACCCACCTTGGTGGACGCTGACATGAGAGGAATGTCATGAGAGTAGTCAAAGTCAGGAATGATTGTCACCAAACTGTCATCCGCCAAAAAGGCAGACCGGAAACTAGACAACTCAATTGCATTCTGCTTGCCAAGACGAGACGACATGGTGGAGTTTTTGTTTGTTGACGGACTCGACTCGACTCCTCAATTGCTTCGTTACAGACGTTGCTGTGGCGAAAGATAACATGGAGGTTGCTTTGGACCGTCATTGGAGGCAGTCGAGCCAGCAGCGCGCTCTTGCTGCATGTTCCGGTAGGGTTCAGGCTCGATGCTTAAGAAGCACCAAATGAGTTCAATCAATCGAAATGAATGAATCAAATCGAATCGAATCGCTCCCGGTACGACCGCTACCGGTACATCGTACCGGTAACCGGTCTTAGTACCAGACCAATGAGCTTGCCTCTCTTGTGGAGCTGCAAGACGAATGATGATCTATCCCCACAACAACATAGTTTTACATATTTACACTGCTACCGGTAGATGTTCCCTCTATAGCTAGTAAAAAATTGGGTTTGTGTTCCGAGACGGTGGCCGTATTCCCGCTCGTTCACTCAGATCTTCTGGTGCATCCATTTCAATATCCAACCCCTGCAGCTGGTCCATAATGATATTCAAAAGATGGATTTCATTTTCCTTGTCTTCTTCGAGCTGCATCACAACCTCTTGCAACGTCGTGGCTCGTTCGTATATTTCATCCCGTTCCTCTTCGGCTTGTTTCAACTTGGTCTCCATTCCGAGAAGCTTCTCACCGGCGTCTTCCATGAGATTCACCGATACAACCGCACTTTGCTCCATACTCGTTCGATAGTGCTCCCTTTCTTGCTTCAACGCATCGAGTTCTTTCTGGGTTTCCGTCAAAAGCTCCTTGTCAGAGGTTTGCACGGTGGAAATGGCGCTGGCTAACGATGCAAGACGGCTCAACAGAGCTCCTACCGCTAAGTTGGCGCTGTCCTTGCTAGAGTCGTCGTCGCTTTCCGATTCGCTTTGTTGTAGAACAACCTCCAAATCGCCACAAATGTTGCTGTATACATTCGTGATGCTGTGAGGTCCCGATGTTCGCAACGATGCTTCCAGACTACTTGTTGCCTCGATCGACTTCTTCTGCTCTTCCATCAAAAGGTCGACTTGTCGTTCCATTGAAAACTTCTCTGACAACACCGTGTCGAGTCTCTTCTGAATACCAGACATTTCCCGTTTGCTCTCCTGCAACGAATCCTCCAACTCTTCAATGCGAGATTTCATTGCCGCCGTAGAATTACTCTCACGATTGTTCCCGACGCCGAGGCCCGTTGGGTAGGGGCTTGGTTCGGGTTGATGATGTGTCATGCTACGCAAGGATTGTTGCAACTCATCCGCAGTGGCTTCCAAGGTGTAATTTTCGGACACGGCCGCGTCCAACGACCTGTTCAAGTCACGGATTCGCTGCTCTTTTTCGTGCACGATCCTCTCTAGTTCTTGAATTTGTTCGCGGAACTGTTGCTCCACCACTACCGGCGATCCCACGACATGAGTGCCCCTCTCTTGCTGGATCAAAACATCCAGCTCATGTAGACGTTGCGTGGCGGTTTGCAGTTCCATTGCTAAGGAGTCTTCACTGGCGAGTGCATCCTCTGGCTCATGACGCGTTCTCTCGAGGTCCGACCTGAGTTCGGCAATACGGGCCCCCAGAACCTTTTGCTCGAGCTCAAAGTCAGGCCCTTCTTCTGGATCCTGGCTACTCGTGAGGGCGGCAATCTTCTCGTTAGCCTCGTCCAGCGTCAGCTCCAGCGCGCTTTCTCTTGAGAGGGCGATTTGGAGTGATTCGGCAGCACTCGCTAGGTTCCGCTCCAGAGCTACCTTCTCCAACGCAAGGGCCTCTAGGCGTTCGCCGGTCTCCTTCAAGGTTGATTTGTCCGCCTCTGCTGCGCTGGCAAACTTGGCAAGCTTCATCAGCAGCCGTTTCTCGTTCTTTTCTTCACCAACACTGTCGTCTTTGCGACCATGGACGGACGGGAAACGGCGGTTCAACAAGTCGAGCTAGAGATGCGGGAGACAGTCACAGCGTCGAATGATGAGATTTGGCGACCGACCGAAAGACAGCAACACAATTCGTCCCTAGCACATACCTGGTCCTCTAACTCGCTCAGCTGCCTCTCAAGATCAAACACAGCGTCTTGTAATGCCTCATTTTCTTCCAGCAACGCGTCTTTGTCATCGGATTCGCTTTGGTTGGACGCCTGGCGAATCTCTCTGGAGGTGTTGTTATTGTTGTTGTTGCTGCTGCTGTCAGCGTTTTTGTAACTGGAGCGGACTGTTCCGTCAGGCGAAGTCATGTTCAGCCGTGCATACACGTGTGCGAGCAACTCTCTCTCCGAACTCTCGTCGTAAGGCGTATCATCCATTTCGGCGACACCTCGCTCCTGGGCCCCATTCCCGAGGTTCTTCTCTAAAGTCGATATCTGTCTCACAAGGGCAGCCCTCTCCGCTTTGAGCGTTTCTCGCCTTTCGGTTTCCCGTTGGCGGTCAACGTCAGCTTGCTCCAAGGAAGTCTTCAACGTCTCTGTCTCAGCCACAGCAAGTTTCAGTTCCTTATTCCGTGCATCCATGTTGTGCATCAACGCCCGATTCTTTTCTTCGGCTGCTAGCAGTCTCTTGTTCGCACTCTTCAACACTACGCCGTTCTCAGCTGCCGCAGCTTCCAACTCTTTGATTCTTTCGACTAGCATTCCCATTTGTTTGGATCCCTTCTGGGCCTTCTGTAATTCCTCTGTGAGGCTCTCGATTGTCCCATTGGAATCGTTAAGAACTTGCCGCAAATTGTCCCTTTCCAGGAGGGCCTCCTTGTATCTCTTTTCCAAAGTTTCCAAATCAGATGATAAGCGAACTTTCTTCGACTGGATAGAGCTCATTCTCTCCATGGCATCCAACAGTTGAGCTTCCTTCGTCCTGATAACAGATTCGAAATCCTCCACTTTCTCCAACAGGGCCTCATTTTCTTGTATAACTTGCGCAGAGTTCGCTTCGAGCATGACGACAGACTTTCGAAGGCTGTCAGCTCTTGCACGTGATGCCCCAAGGTCGTCCTTCTGCTTCTTGGCCACGACTTCCAACTCATCCCGCTGCAAGAGTACCACCTTCAGCTCGTTTGCTTTCTGGCTTTCTCTGCCAATGCTCTGGCTTACGATGACTTCTTTTTCATCGCGCGCCGCCCTTAGGTCTGCTTCTAGTTGCCTGACTCGAATACTACGCCTCTCCACAGTAGCCTTGGAAGTATCCAAAGCCGCCAACGCAGAGCTCTTTTCTTTTTCAAGGAGACCAATTTTGTCGTGCGCCTCCTTTATCAGTGGCGCCGCCCTCGAAATCTTTCCCTTCAAATCCTTGTTTTGTTCCTTTGCTTCTTTGACAGCAGACTCGAGCTTCTGAATGCTTTTTCGGCTTTTGGAGCTCTCCGCTTCTGCATAGCTTAAGGATTCCCTCGTAGATTCCAGCTCCTTTAAGAGGTTCGATATCTTTTCATCGGCATCTTTTAACATCTGCTTTGATTCAATAAGAGCAGTCCGTATGATTGCATTCTCATTCGAGAGGTTATCCTTCATCTCTGCAGCCTCTTTTTTCGCAAGCGCAAGGTTCTCTTCCAGCCCCCTCAAGCTGTGAGTTTTCTGTTCGGCATCGCCTTGTGTTGCAGCTATCTTTTCATTTGCATCTTTCAACAACTGCTTTGCTTCTGCAAGAGAAATCCGAAGGATTTCATTGTCGTTCGAGAGGCTGTCCTTCATTTCTGCAGCCTCTTTTTTCGCGAGCACAAGGTTCTCTTCAAGCTCCCTCAAGGCACGAGTTCTCTGTGCAGCTTCTTCTTGTAGCGTCCCTTTCTCATCGACCAGATCTCGATTCGTTTGCTTCAGTGCTGCAAGCGTTGACTCCTTTTCTTCCAAGGACGCTTGGATCGAATTTCTACTCTCGAGTGCTGCATGCCGGGAATTGATCGCCTGTTGCAGATTGTCCTCGAGAGAGTGAATTGTTGCAGTTGATTCCTTTAGCTGTCTTGTTGTCGCTTCGACAGCAGCGTATACTTGTGCAGTCTTGCTCGTGGCTGCGGTCTTCTCTCCCAACAAGAAACGTTTCTCTTCCTTCAGATTCTGAATTTCAGATTCCCGCTGTTGCAACTGATTTGAAAGCTCTTCCTTCGCTTTCAAAACATCTCCAAGCTTCTCCTGAGCCATCCCAAGCTCCGTCTCCAGCGCTCGAAGTGTCTCCGTGCTGGCTGTCTGCAGATCCACAGATTTCCGCCCTTCCTCTTTCAATGCTTGCTGCAACCCTGATTGCACATGCTCCAGCTCTTGAACGGCGGTTTTCAAGTCATCATTGCGAGCTTCCGACTCTTGAACCTCTTTCTCCAAACTACGTCGAATCTGCTCCAGCTCATCTTTTGTTGTTAGGAGCACCGAAAGACGCCCTTCGGATTCTTTGTATTTTTTCTCGAACTCAGTCTTCAGATGTTCCAACTCAGCATTTTGGTCTTCCAGGATAGAGTTCCTACCATTGGACTCCTTCAGCCCACGCTCGAAATCGGTTCGCAGTCGTTCTAATTCAGCATTCGTATCTTCCAACACGGAGACACGACGCTGAAGCGACTCCTTCTTCGAACCAGTGTCTCTAAGGTTTGTCTCGAAAATATCTCTAGATGAAACTGCATCAGATCTTGCTTGTTCAAGTGCAGCGATCTTTTCTTCTGTTTTGGCAAGCTCCTCGTGCTTGCCTTTGAGAGAAAATCGCAGCCCCTCCACCTCGTGATCTAAAGACTTGTTCTTCTCCGACAGCAATTCGTAATCCTTTTTCAAGGCAGCAAGCTCTGATTGCAGCTGGCCTGTTTCAGAGCGCGAACCTTCAAGGATCGCTTCTAACTTCTCTTTGACTTGAAAAGATTCTACTTGGGCCTGCTTCAATCTGTCCTCGAGACTAGACACGTTGGCGTTTGCTTCGATCATGTTTGTCTCAAATTCATTGATCAATCGTTTCGTCATGGACACATCCCGTGCGAGACCATCCTTTTCATCTTCGAGTGAATGATTTGCTTTCTGGAGCACAGACAATTCATTCTGAAGGTCCTCAGTCCTAGCTGATGATTCCTTGAGATTCTCTTCAAGGCTGCTTTTCCCATTCAAGGCCTCTTGCAGGGCTTCTTGTGCATTGCACAGTTCTTCCACCAAACCAGAAAACTTCGCGTTGGCCCCATCCAACTCCATGTCCATGCTGTCAAGGGAAGCCTTCAATGCTGCTAGTTCTTCATCAAGAATTTTCTTGTCTCGCTTCAGATCCTCGTTGATTTCGTTGAGCTGGGTTATTTCACCCTCCAGCTCCTTTTTCGCATCAAGGGCTTCATCCCGGCTCTTCTGACAGCTCCTCAGCTCATTCTCAAGAGTCGAAAGCTTGACATTGGCACTTCCAAACTCTTGCTCCTTCACATCAAGGTACACCTTAAGCTGAGCTACAGTCTGCTCCAAAACAATATTGGCGTCCTGTGCAGCTTGATTGGCAGCCTTGAGGTTGGTCAGCTCCACTTGCAGTGATTCAGTTGCTCTTCCTGAGTTCTCCAAACTTTGTTGAAGCCTTTGCTTGTCTTGCTCTGCAGCATTCTTGCTTTCTGACAGAGCCTCCTCAAGTGATGCAACCTTGGTAACAATTCCTGCTAGCTGCTCTTGGCCTGCTGCGTAATCGTTCTTCAGTTGGAAGATTTCTGCTTGCCACAACTGCGCTGACTTTGCAGCTTCAGTCAACTTAGCGTCCAGGTCTTTCTTTGCCTCTGAGCTAGCTTTGGCTTCTGTCAAGGCTTCAGACAGTTTTCTTTCAAGCTCACATATTCTAGTGCCACTGTCAGCAAGCTGCCCATCCTTTTTCTCTAGAACCAGTTTCATTGATGAGAGTTCTTCTTCGAACTCTGCCTTGGCTTCATCTGTTGCTTCCTTGACTTCCTTGAGGCTGGAAAGCTCAAGCTGTAGAGTTCTGGCAACTGATTCTGATTCGAGCATGCTTGCTCGCAATGCTTTTTGCACCTCTGAAGTTGCACTCACATCTTCCTTTGACATGGATAACTCAGCCTCAAGGGCAACCACCTTGGCACTGGCATCATCCAGCTGTGCAGACATGCTTTCCAAAGTGCTCTTTAGCATGGATGCTTGCTCCTCCAGGGCACTGTTGGCTTCTTTGGTTTTGCTAACAACATTCTTTGACTCTAATAGCTGATCCCCCAATAGTTGATTGGCTTCTCTCAGGCTAGCTAGCTCCACTTGTACAGCTTCAGCAGAAGATCCTGATTCACTCAAAGTGGCTTCCAAAACACTCTTGGAATTGAGGGCTTCCTGGGTCTTTTCGTGTGCATTGGACAGCTCAGCTTCAAGAGAGCCTATCTTGACCTCTCTATCACCCAACTGCTTCTCTTTTTCATCTAGAAAGTTCTTCAAGAGAGCCAGTTCCTCCTCAAGACTTCTTTTGGCCTCTTCCAATGAAACTTGGGATTCCTTCAGGGTGGAGACTTCCAGTTGCAAGGTTTCCATTGCAGAATTGGAGTCATTAAGGCTGGCATCAAGTGCCCCAATAGATTGAATGACCTCTTGAGTCTTGTTATGAGCGTCTGACAGCTCAATTTCCAGAGAGGCCACTTTATCATTGCTTGTGGTCAATTGTTTCTCTTTTTCTTGCAAAGAATTCTTCAGCCGTCCCAGTTCCTCCACAAAGCCTATCTGGGACTGTTCCACTGCCTGCTCCGATTCCTTCAGCGAAACAAGTTCAAGCTTCACCGCTTCTGCTGCTGCATTTGATTCAGTCAAGCTGGCTTCCATTGCTAGCTTCGATTGCATCATTTCACGCATCATATTTTTACTTTCAAAGAGCTTGTTGTCCTTCTCACCAACAATACATCTCAGTTGTGCCATCTCCTCTTCAAGACTACTCTTGGCCTGTCCCAATGCTTCATGAGCCTGTTTGAGAGCAAAGACCTTCACCTGCATAGCTTCAAGACCAGCCTTGGCCTGTCCCAATGCCTTGTGGGCCTCTTTCAGTGCGGACACCTCAAGCTGCATACCTTCTGGCACTACCAGTTTTATTGACAGCTCTGCTTCTAGAGATGCCAGTTTGGTGGCACTGTCAGCCACTTGATGCTCTTTCAAATCCAAGGCATGTTTCAACAGCAACACCTCCTCCTGATGTGAAACCTGTGCCATGTCTAATGCTTTGCTGAGGCTGGCAATCTCACCTCTCAATGATTCCGATACCGCACTTGAATCTTGCAGACTGGCCTGAAGTGTCCCTATGGTTTCTTGGGCCTCAGTTGCCTCAGCTATATCTCGTCCAAGATCACTGTCAACGGAAGACAGTTTCTCATCAGCAAAAAATGATCTCTCTTTGCTGTGGCTCTCAACTTCCTGCAGCCGGGAGATGGAATCCTCCAGTCCCTTCTTTTCCTGTTCCACACCCTCCAGTTTTTCCTCAAGCTCACTGATTTTCACCTGAAGACTCCTGCTGACTACCTCTTTTTCTTCAAGCAGTGTGTTGAGGTTGTCCTTCACCTTCACTGCCTGATCAATTTCCTCTTTAAGCTTTTCAACTTCCTTGACAGTATCATTCAGCTTGCCATTAGCTTCTTTTAGTTGAGCATGTTGAGCTTCCGAGGTGGACTTGAACTCATCTAGCTCGGCTCTGAGGGATTCATTCTCCCTTTGTTGGACCTGGTCTGCCTCCTGCAAGTCCTGTATGATGCCTTCCATAGAGTTCTTGGAAGCCAGGAGTGTTTTGACTTCATTTTGGGCCTCAAGTAGCTGAGATTCTAAAGAGGCCACAACGTCAGACAATGATCCTGCTTTAGCTTCCAGAGACTGTTTCAATTGTGACAGCTCTTCCACAAGGCTAGTTCTGGCCTCTTCTGTCGCTCGCTGAGCTTCCTTCAATGCAGACACTTCCTGCACTAAAGCTTCAGCAGCAGAACGTGAATCTGCAAGGTTTGCTTCCAGTGCTGCCTTGGACTCAATGGATTGTTGGATTTGACCATCTGCTTCAAGCAGTTCAGCTTCTAGTGTGGCCACGTTGGATTCACTCTCAGCCAATGCACTCATTTTCTCATCCAGAGTTGCATTCAGCTGTTTTATCTCCTCTTCAAGTCTACTCTTGCCATCTTCCAACTCGTGCTGCGATTCTTTCAGTGCGGACACCTCAAGCTCCATGGCGTCTGCTGCTGATTTATATTCACCCAGCTTGGCTTCAAGGGTTGCCTTAGACTCAATAGCTTCTTGAACTTTGATGTGGGCATTTGACATCTCTTCTTCTAGAGATGCCAACTTTGTGGCGCTCTCCGCTACTTGATTTTCTTTCTCGTCCAGCAACTGTGACACCTTTTGGTGGGAAGCCTGTGCCATGTTCAATGCTTCACTAAGGCTTGTGATCTCTCCTCTCAATGATTCTGATACTGCACTTGATTCTTTCAGACTGGCCTGCAGTGTCTCCACAGTTTCTTGGGCCTCAGTTGCTTCGGCCCTGGCTTGAATAAGTTCACTATCCAGTGATGAAAGTTTCTCATCAGCCACAATTGATCTCCTTTTGTTGTGGCTCTCAGCTTCCTGCAGCTGGGCAATGGAATCCTCCAGCAACTTCTTGTCCTGCTCCGCACCATCCAGACTCCTTTCAAGGTCAGTGATCTTTGCCTTTAAGTCCGTGAAGACTGCCTCCTTTTCTTCCAGCTCTGCATTGCGATTCTCCTTCTCCTTCACAGCCTGATCAATATCCTCCTGCATCTTTCCCACTTGATTCAGGGCATCACTCAGCTTGCCATTAACTTCATTTATTTGAGCATATTGACCTTCTGTGATGGACTTGAACTCATCTAGCTCAACTCTGAGGGATTCATTCTCGCTTTGCTGGACCTGCATTTCCCCCTCCAATTCACCAATTGCACTTTCTAGAGCATTCTTGGAATCCACCAGTGCTTTGACTTCCTTTTGAGCCTCAAGTAGCTCAGACTCTAAAGAGGCTACCCTGGCTTCATTGTCAGACAATGATCTGTTTTTCTCTTCCACAGACTGTTTCAACTGTGACATCTGTTCCACAAGGCTAGTTCTGGCTCCTTCTGCTGCTTGTTGGGCTGCCTTCAATGCCGATAACTCCAACTGCAAAGCTTCAGCAACAGAAAGTGAATCAGCAAGGCTAGCTTCCAGTGCCGACTTTGACTCGATGAACTGTTTGGTTTCACTTGTTGCCTCCATCAATTCAGCTTCCAATGTGGCTACCTTGGATTCAGCCTCAGCCAATGTGCTAATTTTCTCATTGAGAGTAGTCTTCAGCTGTTCTGTTTCTTCTTCAAAAGAACTCTTGGTCAGTTCCATAGCTTCTTGGGCCTCTTTCAGAGCGGAGACCTGAAGCTGCATGGCTTCCACTGCTGATCCAGATTCACCCAGTCTGACTTCTAGCATTGCCTTGGATTCAACGGCTTCTTGGACTTTGCTGTGAGTATCCAACAACTCTGCTTCTAGAGATGCCAGCTTGGTATCACTCTCAGCTACCTGGTTCGCTTTCTCGTTCAAAGCATGATGCAACTGTGACAACTCCTCCTGATGCGAGCTTTTGGCTAGATCCAACATTTCACTGAGGCTGGCAATCTGTTCTTTCAATGTGTCTTCTCTTTCACCGGATTCTTTTAGGCTAGATTGGAGGGTCTCTGTGGTTTCTTGGGCCTCAGCAACCTCAGCCCTGGCTTTGATAAGCTCACTGTCAAGGGAGGAAAGTTTCTCGTCTGCCATAATGGATCTCTCCTTGCTTTGGCTCTCAGCTGCCTGCAGCTGGACAATGGAATCCTCCAGCAACTTCTTGTCCTGCTCCACACCCTTCAGTGTTCCTTCAAGTTCACTGATCTTTGCCTGGAGATCTGTACTGGCTGCCTCTTTCTCCCTTAGCAAGGTGTTCAGATTGTCCTTCTCCTTGTCTGCCTCAACAATATCCTCTTGAAGCTTTTCGACTTGCATCTTGGCATCATTCAGCTTGTCACCAGTTTCCCTCACTTGAGCATATTGAGATTCTGAGAAAGACTTGAACTCCTCTAGCTCGGCTCCAATGGTTTCAATTTCATTTTGTTGCATCTGTTTTGCCTCTTCCAACTCCCCAAGAATTTTTTCAAGAGCTGCATTTGCGTTGTTTGCCTCCGTGGCCCTGTTCTCTGCGGCTTCCAGGTTTCCCTTGAGTTCTGATATGTCGCCATTTGCCTTGTTCAGCTCGGCTTCCATGTCAGCACCACGTTGCTGCAGACTAGACATCTCCGTTTCGGTACCAGCAAGTTTCTCCGCCAGGGATTCCCGAGCTTTTTCGAGCTCAGACAGTGTTCCCTGAAGAAGTTCGGCGGACGAGTCCTTTTCTTTCAATGCTTCCTCAAGGCTTTCCTTCGACTCCATAACCAACCTCTTCTCCTCTTCGGTGCTTGCTAAGGTAGCTTCCAAGGTCGTTATCATCTCTGCAGACACTTTCAGCTCACGCTGCGCGTCTTCGTGACAGGCAAGCAGTGTCGTAAGCTCTTGTTCCAAGTTTCTCGCTGTTTCGACCTTTTCTAGCAGATCTTTTTCTTTCTGTGACACAGATTCTTCCAGAGATATAATTGTGGCTTGTTTGTCTTCAATGGTGGCTTCCTGGGTACCCAAAGATGCAATGGCATCGTCGCGCTCTTTCTGCATGGCTTGCGCGTCTGCTTCCAACGAAGCTATCTTTTCTTGGACTTGCTCGTCACTGCTGGCAACTGTTTCCTTCAGTCCAGTAAGTTCCGTTTCAAGTGAAGCCTTTTCTTCTTTGAGGTTCACGACCTCTTCTTCCACAGTTGTGATGTCTTGACGCAATCTCTTCGCTGCGGTGTCGGCTTCTTCTAAAATGATCTCCAAATCCTCCTTTTCATCTTCGACTTCCTTGCGAGCATCCTTGGCAGCCTGGAGCTCGCTTTCCAGCGCAACGACTCTTTCAGACGCATCCTTGAGCTCGTCTTCCACTCTCGCTTTCGATTCCTGGAGTTCGGAATGAGCTGTATCCAACGCTGCTAGCTTCTCACTTGCTTCGCGTGACGCTTCCTCGGCGGCTTCCAGAGCTGATATTTTATCCTTTGTCTCCCTCAATTCTTGCTCTGCTGCTTCAAGGCCCAACAGTTTCTCCTCTGCATCTTTGAGCTCCTGTTGAACTGTTGCCTGCTTCTCTTGAGCGTCCCGAAGTTGCTCCTCAACTGCGTCGTTACCTGCTTGCAGATTGTCTCGTTCAGTTTCCAGTTCGGCTATCTTGGCCTTAACTTCCTCCAGGTGAGTTGAATGGGTTTCCTGCGCCTCTGCCAGTTTGGCTTCAAGGGATGATACTTGTTCGTTGGCTTCGTCGAAGGACTTTTGGACAGCCAATAGGCCAGTAGAAGACTCGGTTTCCAGGGTGGATATCTTGTCGGATGCCTCTTGAAGCTGCTGTTCCAACGCCTGCTTGGATGATTCAAGTACTGATATTGCTGCCTCCAGGCTGGCAACTTTCTCGCTTGCATCCTTCTTGGCGTTTTCAGACGCGCTAAGATTGGCGGCGCTCTCAGCTTCCAGGCTGGATAGCTTGGATGTTGCTTCTTGGAGCCGTTCCTCTGTGGATACTTTGGTCGTTTGAAGTTCGGTCAGCTGGGTTTCCAGGAACGTTATGTTCTCCTTGGCATCAGAAAGAGCCGCCTCAGTCGCCTGAAGGTCTGCGGAGCCTTGCTCCTCCAGAAAGGAAAGTTTGGCCGTTGCTTCTTGGAGCTGTTCCTCGATTGCTGCTTTGGAAGCTTGGAGGTCGGAGATTTGGGATTCCAAAGAGGAAATGCTGTCTTTGGCCGTCTGAAGGTCCGCAGAGCCTTGTTCTTCAAGGCTGGAGAGTTTGCCGGTTGCTTCCTGGAGTTGTTCTTCAAGTGTTGCTTTGGAAGTTTGAAGGTCGGATATTTCGGATTCCAGGGAAGATATTTTGTCAGTTGCGTTCGATAGGGAAGATTGAAGTTCGGAGAGTTCAGATTCGAGACTGGCTGCCTTGGTTTCGGCTTCTTGCAGCCGTTCTTCTTTGAAAGTTTTGGAGTTTTGGAGGTCTGACAATTGAACTTCGAGGAACTTCACAGTTTCAGTGGCTTCCGTCGCTGCATCTTGGGTGGATTGAAGCTCGGAAGCTTGAGATTCGAGAGCCGCGATTTGTTCCTTGGCTTCTTTAAGACTTTCGTCTGCTTGATCTTTGGTAGTTTGAAGCTCGGCTTCCAGCGATGTTACACGCTCGTTTGCCTTTTCAAGGCAGTCATCGGAGTGCTCTTTGGAGGCTTGAAGCCCGGCTGCTTTATCTGACAGTTCGGAAATCTGTTGATTGGCCTTTTCCAGATCTTCATCAGATTGTGCCTTGGTCGTTTGAAGTTCGGCAATGACGGCATCAAAACTGGTGTTGGTTTCTTCCAGTGTTGCTTTGGTCTTTTGCAGTTCGGCGTGTTGGGCTTCCAAAGCCGACAGCTTATCCTGCGCTTCCGACACTTGTTCTAGTAGGGCGATATTGGAGGATTGCAGATTGGTTTGATTTGCCTCGAATCGCGACAACTTTTGCTGGGTTTCCATCAACTGTTCTTCCTTCATCATAACGGCAGTTTGCAGTCCGGAATGCTCAGCTTCAAGCTTGTACATTTTCTCGTTCATATCCTGCAGTGCCGTCTGCGACGTTTCCACTTGCTGGTGGCGATTGGAAAACAACTCCGCCAACTCTTCCTTGACCTTTCTCAGTTCGGCCTCCGTGGAAGCCACAGTGGATTCCAAGGTGGAGTTTTTGCTCTCGAGTTCAATTTTGGCTTGCTTGAGGGTAGCATTATCCATCTTTAAAGATTTGTTCTCCTCTTGCAAACTGGAGACAGATTGTCGTAGTTCATCCGCGTCGGCTTGTACCGTCTTCAGTTTGGTTTCCAGAGCATCCCGTGATTCTGTAGCTTCCTTTTCGAATGCCTGCAAGCGTTCCAGTTCGGGTCCCGTTTCGACCATGATACTGTCTCGTTGTCGTCTTTGCTCCTTAAGCTGACTCTTGTAGTTGGATTCTTTGACTTTGAGTTGATTGATTTTCTCCAGCAGTCCATCCCGTTCCTGCTGTTCTCTATCCAATGCCTTCTTTGTCTTTTGAAGTTCTTGCTGTTCCTTCTCAAGCGTCTGTTTGGCTTGTTGCAGTTCTTGCTGTTCCTTGTCGCGTGCTGATTTGGTCTGTTGGAGTTGTTGCTTTTCCTTGTCGAGGGCGGTTTTGGTCTTTTGGAGTTCCTTTTCCAACTCGGCAACTCTGGTTTGGGAAGCATCGTGCACTTGTTTGGAAACTGAAACATCCACAACAACAGCATCCGTGTCGTCAGTGTCTCCGTTCAACGCCTTGCGCAGTCTCCGTTCCAAATCTTGAATCAAGTTGTCCTTGGCCTGATCCGCGGCACTGCTGGCATAAAACGGTTTGGAGGGTTGGTACTTGTCGTGCTCTTCCAGCTGATTGTAAATGTCCCTCAACTCGTCATCCACTAATCTCAATTGTCGTTCGAGGGCTCGCTTTTCGCAATTCATGACTTCCATTTCCCCCAGTGTGCGCTGGAGCTGAATGTCCTGTTCTTCGCAACTGGCCTCGAGGGTTTTGAGGCGTTCTGCTTTGGGGACGAACTTTTTTCTATCCTTTTTCTTCTCGTCGGTTGGAACAGGAGAATCGCGGGGTCCATAGAGAGTATCATGATCGACCGAGTCGGCATTTCCCTTGGCAATCTCGGGAGGCAATCCCGCATTCACGTCGTCTTGAGCATGTTGTTGATGTACTGGTGTTTTGGCAGCTGGTGCTGTTGTCGTGACAGGCTCAGCTGGTTCTTCCTTTTTGGGTTCTTCCTTTTTGGGCTCTTCTTTGGCTGCCTCTGGATTGAGCATTCGATGGATCCGTTGGACATCGGCCTTGTCATACATTTGTTCCACTACGCGTATGGCCGTACCATTGTTGAGTAATCGTTTGATTTCATCATCGTTTTCACCCGACGATTCTTCTATTTCCCCCAGTGAAGATTTCTTTTCCGCCTTGATTTCGGCTCGCACACGGGCTACATCTTCTGGTTTGTACATGGCATTTAGGAGGGATTCGGTGCCCTCTCGAGTGGAGGCATCTTCCTGGTCTTCATTTTGAATCAAACGACGAATTTCATAGTCCGTCTCTTTTTGTTTCTTGGCAGCGTCTTCGTCACCACCGCCCATCCAATCAAACCAAGAACCCTCATCTCTCTTTTCAATCTCAGGTTCGGGTTCAGGCGCCGGGGCAGGGGCTTCTTCGACCCATCCAAACCAACTCATCGTGGGAAGATGCTAATTGTGTGATCACTCTCGTCGTGGATTCCCACTGTTTGCTAGCTTTCCTATTGGTCCATACTCCACTTTCTTCTTCAATAAAAAACAGTGGATTTCAAATATACACTGTGCTCGGGTTCCTTAGGAGGACAGTGCTACGGTAATAGCACTATAGCTGGGAGACTTGGAGAGAGCTCTTTCTCATAAACTTGAAGCATTGCAATGGCTGGAAAGCTCGAAAGCTCGGAAGACCATGTTCTTCTGGTTGGATGCAAGCGAAGGTGGACTTGAAGCATTAAGCAAATATGTTTGACGTCAGCAGAATGCTTCGCTCACTTAATAAATAATTTCGCTGCACTGGCACGTACCGGTTAACTCAATTCGTAAAAAGATGTGCACAGGCGCCCAATTCTTCAACAACTTTGCTGGTCGATTTTGGCCTTGTTCGTGCCACTGCCGATGATTGATCAGAGAAGGTGGGTCTAGCAAGCTAGAGGGGTTGTATTTGGCAAAGAAGAGGTGGAGTTCGGAACCAGTAGCTAGGTTCGGTGGGATCAGGGGCGACACATTCATGACCAACACAGGGACCAAAATGCCTTCACAATCATTCATTCCATGAGCCAATGCCAATTCAGCAGCATCTTTTTGAGGAGTGGCAGTGGAGGAAGCGACCCTCCAAAGAAGTATGATACGACTGTACATGCATTTGGATAGTTTTAGTGGAGTATTTTCATAGATTGGGTTTCCTCAGCCATTTTCCTCCTGGCGGCATGATTGAATCTTGAGCACGCAAAAGTCCAATTCACAAATTGGCATCACTCCAAACTGGTGTTGGGGTCCTAGAGTCGGGAAGTGTCCTAGCTAGTAATCTTGCATATCGTCGAATGGTACGCCTATTGAGTTGCATGATTGCCTGATGATACATGTTACTACCGATCGAGGTGTGTTTTCGTAAGTGCCCGAGGACACCAAAACACCTATTCAATGCAAAAGTTGGCATCGTACGGTGGAACGCAAAAACCGCCAACTCATGCGGGTTGGTGTTTTGTTGACTCGCAAGAGTCGAGTCTGTACAGCAGCCACCCATTGATGGATGCATGATGATTTACCTCTACTGTACCGGGCTCGTGTTATGCATTGGAAGATATCGGAGCGTTCAATTCCAACGTCACTACCGTTGGAATATCACTCTCTGCTTTTTTCTTCTTCTTTGTCTTGGTGGCTTTGCCATCCGTTGGTTCCTCGTCTTTCGTCTTCTTCTTTTTGGTCGCTTCTGGCGCATCATTGTCTACAAGCTTTTTCTTGGATTTCTTCTTGACTAGGGGTGCCCCATCCGGGGTTGCCTGATCCTTTTGGTCCGCTTCAGCGTCATTTAGCTTTTTCTTGGACTTCTTCTTTACTAGGGTAGAACCATCCGGTGTTGCCTGATCGGCTTGGTCCGCTTCAGCGTCATTTAGCTTGTTCTTGGACTTCTTCTTGACTAGGGGCGCACCAGCCGGTGTTGCCTGATCATTCTGGTCAGCTTCAGCGTCATTGAGCTTTTTCTTGGATTTCTTCTTGACTAACGGTGCACCATCAGGTGTTGCCTGATCCTTAGCATCTCCCTCAGCTGTCTTTTTCTTTGATGTCTTTTTCTTGATGGGCTCTTGACTATTGTCGTCTGGTTCGTCTTCGGATGTCACTTTCTTTTTGCTATTGGATTTTTTCTTGCCCAGCTTTCGATCCGGATTCTCTTCGGTCGTCAGTGACTTGGAACTGGATTGCTTTTCGTGTTCTTGTAGCGGCTTTTTGCTGGATTTCTTCTTGCCCAATTTGGGCCGTTCGTCATCTTTCTTTCGTGATGCCGAAGGAGATCGACTCTCTTGCAGTTTTCGTTTGCTGTCTATCTTTTGGACGGCCGTGGCTGGCCGTCCAATCCGTTGTGTGGCGGCAGCCTTGGCTTTTGACTTCTCATCTGAAAAAAGGTCTTTGTCACTGAGTGAGGGTTTCGGTCTGGGTCGCTCTACTCTGCCGAGAGGCTTGGGAGAGAGAGATCGAGCTCTTGGATTGCGTCTTTGCAGTCGCCCCCTGCCATCCTCTTCCTCCTTTTTATTGGACAGTCCCATCAAGTTTCGGACACTGCCACCTAATAGAGATCTCTTGCTGCCGGACTTTTGTTCCGCCAGTCCCAACCGTCGATTGCTCTTTTCTTTTTGCATCATGGGTTTGATCCCTCGATTCCATACCACTTCTTCCAGGACCATACCCAACAGAGATTCCGCCTCAAAGTCCTTTTTCTTCTTCTTCTTCTTGGCACCAGGTTTCTTTTTCGTCTTCTTCTTGGTAGTGGCAGCAGCAGAAGATCCGGATTTGGTCTTCAAAGGTTTGCTGTGATTCTTGCCCTTTTTGGAGTCGTTGCCTGGTTCGACTTCAGTGGTGGTGGCGGCTTTGTCGGTCTTGTCGGTCGCCATGGTGGGAGTTTCAGCTTCTACTTTGCTTAGCCTTCAAAATGAATGCAATGTGTGCAAAAAGGAGTGAACCGGGGTTGGTTTGTAGTCCTACCTGGCTAGATACCGGTAGGTTGGTGCACCATTCAATGCCGAGTTGCAAGAGGGTTGTTTGTGTCGTTGTTTCATGCACTCCCCAAGCGAGTGGTGAAAGTCGGAAGGTTCTTTAGTTCTTCCCACCGTAGATGTGCCGAGTTCTACGGTACTGGGTAGATCGTTTGGGCCTACTAGTAGATGTGGTAAATAGTATTTTGGATAAATGTACCGTTTTGGGTATGATTGATAAGTATTTACCTCAGCTAAAAATATAGAAATGACCCAATCCAAGAATTAATGGGATTTATTGCTATCACCCCTTTGCGACTAACTTTTTGCTCAAGTACGTAAGTGACCACACTTTACTTCCTGGCGTGCGCCACCGTCTCGAGTCAAATGAATGCTGCGGGGTATTATTTTTTAAATAGACTAATAGATTTAGACAGCAAACGTTTCTCTAATCCTTTTAGCGCTTTAACCGCCAAAATTTTAACCGATTTCAAAGGGCGAAATTCCCTTTTAGATAACAACACACAGCACCATGGTTTCTTCTCATCAAGCCGATGAAGAGTCGTAGTCGCCATCCCAATCCCAGTCGGTAAAATAACAAGCAACTAGTACTGCTATTGATAAAACAACAGCCATGAACCCTCCTCGCAAGCGTCTAGGAGCCGTGGAGCGTCTGGGAAAGAGCTCTGGCCCCGATCCAAAGGTGTCCCTTTCCTCGCGCAACCTCAACCGTTCGAGAGTTGGAAACCTCTACGAAAAAGCATCCTCTCGGGGCTCTCGGACCAAGCAAGCTTTGGAGCGTCATGGAGAGATCTCTCGTGATGTAGCCGTGGCACTGGGTGGGAACCAACACATGCGGGGCACCAAGAAACGAAAAGTATTTGATGAAGGCATGGCTACCTTTGGCGAACAAATGAAGGACCGAGGCCGAGAACGAGCCATTCGCATTCACCATGCCAATCTTGAGCGGCGCGCCAATGCAGCGAATGGCAGTATCGTCAATCCCAATAAGAAGAAGAAAAACGCTCCTGCGGCATCCAAAGAAAACTTTCGTTTTGGATCCTCCACGGCCATTATCCCCAATGCGAAGACAAAAAATCGTCAGAATTTTGGAAAGCAACCGTCATCGGCAGCTATTCAACCTCCAAAGGCCAGCTCTGGAGGAAAAAATTCTACGATGACGAGTCTCCAAATCGAAAATGAACGCAAGGCAAAATCCATTGAACAATTGACGCAACAACTGGATAATGCCCAGAAGAAGAGCCAACAGGCAGAGCAACACATTCGGTCTCTGCAAGAAGAGAATAGTCAGCTCAAAAAGAAGCCGCGCAAACGACAATCCACTACCAGCCTCAAGAAACAGGGAAACAGCGCTGTAGATGCCATTGAGATTGACTAAAAACAAGAAGGGACCAAGGGTATATATTATTTCATGTCTATTCCCAATACGGTACGCGCTGTAACTATTGTGGGCTTGGATTTAGTGGGGATAAGGACTCTAAGGGTGGCCTCCTTCATGCTTGGATTATCCATGACAAGGTGTGCGCTGTGACAGTGCAGTTTTTGGGTTTCTAAGGGTTCCAGAGTCTTTATTATTGCATACTAGTTCATTGCTCTTGTTTGATATTGATAGTATTAGACTAGTAGTGGCGTTGCTAGCTAGCATCCTTGCTTTCCCAAAGTCTATAATGGCTGTTCTTCTAGCATAGTTAATGACTGGCTAATTTCACCAACGCGGTTGAATATTCACCACCGGGTCTCTCGACGGCGGTTTCCCTTGGCGCTTCCGCCATTTCGTTTCTTATCACTTCCACCCTTGCGACCAAAGGATTCATTATTTCCTCTTCTTTGATCGCCACGACCACGACCGCTAAAGTCGCTGCGATGATGGCGGCGCTGGTCAAACCCACTACCACCCTGATAGGATGATGCCGGACGCGAGGACAACGATGGATGATCCAAGACACCGTACTGTTTCAACACTTTGTGAGACAAAGTGGGACGCTCTTGCAATCTCGCCTGGTCGGCAAACGAATTGATCAAATCAAAGACTGTATCCGCGGGTTTACGCATGCCCCATTCTCGAAATTGTTGAAAATAGAATCCAAACATGCCTCGGTAGCAATCCGCTCCCTTTTCGGCCACTTGCCAATCGTCCAAGGCTCGTTCCAGCCGCTTACTGTTGTTGTCCGAACTGGTAGATTCCAAATCCTGTTGCAATTCTAGATTGTGCGGAATTTCGATACCACTCAACAACCCATCGAGTGCATCGAGTTCGTCTGGAAGAAGTACCACGAGTCCCTCACCCTCTTTTCCCGCTCGTGCGGTGCGTCCCAATCGGTGAATGTAGGTTTCTCGATCGCGGGCACATCCCACTTGGATGACATGTGAGACATCGGGATAATCGACACCCCGTGCCGACACATCGGACGTGAACAAAATGGCAGACTTGGACCGGCGGAATCGTTCACTGGTATTGCTGCGTGAGTTTTGGGAGAGTTTGCTGTGCAATTCCAAAACAATGGGTTGTCGCGTTGTTGTGCTGCTGGCTGGGTCGTTTTGAAGATACGTTTGAAAGAGCTGGGTAAGAAATGTTGTTTGGCTGGTGGTATTGCAAAAGACCATCAACTTGGCATTCTTCTTCTCCGAGGATGATGATACTAGTATGTGTTCAATCAACTGCACGACCCCAGCAATCATTTGATCGCGAGGCACAATGACATGCGATTGTTTTACGGTTTTCACTGTCTGCAAATTGGGATCTTCGTCTTGAATGCAATCGACGGTAAGGTGATCCGGTTGCAAGTAACTCTGCACTTCCTTCTGGACAGAAGGAGGCACTGTGGCAGAAAACAGGAGTGTTTGACGAGGTTGCTCTGGCAAATAGGAAATGATGCGTTGAATATCCTGTCGAAATCCCAGATCCAACAACCGATCCATCTCATCCAAGACGAGAATGTCGACACTATCATTGAAGCAGTCGGCAAATGGCTGGTCTCTGTCGTTCAACCAGGAGTTTTCCAAATGATCCAAGAGTCTGCCCGGTGTGGCTGTCACAATGGTAGGTTGCTTCCGGCGATCGAACCGCTTCATATCAGCACCCTTGGAAACACCGCCATACAACACTTGTGCTTGGATTCCATCCTGTGCTTTCACCAAATCGGCCACTGTTTTATGAATTTGTGAGGCGAGTTCTCGTGTGGGTGAAATAATGAGCATGCGGCACTGTGTGTGGTTACTCTCTTGCAGGAGACGTTCCAAAGTGGGTAAGAGAAATGCCAGTGTCTTTCCCGATCCTGTGCGACTCTTGCCCAGTACATCCTTTCCCGACACGACGGCATCCCATGTCTTGTCTTGGATATCCGTCATGCAGTCAATACCCTTTTTCTGCAAAAGCTCCAGAGTGCGAGGATTCAAATCCTTCAATTCCGAAAAATACCTGCTTTCGTCATCACTGTCGCTGTCAATGTCGGTAGAGAGGACAGCCGACGCCTTGGAAGAAAACCAATGAGACGACGTGATACCGGTATCTATGGGAGCATTGGCATTAGGATTCCAGATCAATGAAGTGGTTCCCCGCAAAATGGAGGCGCTCTGAAAGAAGCGTCCTTGGCCAGCACAAATTCTACCTAATACCGGAACTAATCGAACGTTTGAGCGTGACAACATACATTGCATGGACCGACGAGCCGCTTGCAAGGAGGACATGGTGGAATAGAAATGCTGGACTTCTACTTTGGAGGGAGAAAAAGTAAATGAGATTGTGGGAATGAGAAAAGAAAATGAGTGGAGGGCGAAGAAAAGAGCCACTGTGCGATCGTTTCTATGGAAGCACGAATGAATTCGAATCTCGAGGGTGAATTCCGCGCCTCACAAAAACAAGGCAAAGCTCCATCGCGACGACCTTATTGTTGCTGTTGACCGTCATCGCCCCTGCTTCTCTCCAAGTTTCTTCTTTGTCTCTTTTCAGTACCTACCTGTGACACTTTCAGTTGATCCGCCAGGCATTGCTCACTCGCCAGTAGAAGCCAAATTCTTGTTTGTAGTCCAACCCATCATCATGTCGTCATTGCTCGCGTCCACTTCCACCGACCAGGAGGACTTGCTGGTCAAAGCCATGCTGGTGGTCCTTCATCATGGCCAAGGCCTTCTCTCTCTTCAAGACATTGGACGGTTGTCTATCACTTCCAAAGCCATTCAGAATGTGAGTATGCACCATGACCATGACAACGAACACCTTTCGTCCGGCCAGTGCTGTTCACCTCACACAAACTACTCCATCTCGTCATTGTTCATTTTTGTCCAGACTGTGGAAGACTGTCATGTTTGGAAATCTGTATTCCAAGACATTTCGCCCGATCCAGTGCCGCTATCAATCCTCAATGCCGCAAGAGCAGTCACATGGAACGGTGAACAAGGATTACTTCCTTGCTTTACCGCTCCGGATTCTCCAGCGAGTGGGCTACAAAAAAGCAATTGGACTACTCCTGTCCAAGACGTGTCAGAAGTGTGGGGCGTTTGCAGGCTCCACAAGTCCATTCTCACTTACTCGATTGTGTGAGCCATGCAGCCAACACGATTCGGCGGCTTGGACGTGTGTCAAGACTAGAGCCAAGGAAATGTTCCTTCTCAATTACAAGGACTTGGATACATTGCCGAGTGCGACTGTGACGCCTGGTACAGGTCCTGGTGGTAAGACATCCACCATGTACGCCTATAACGATGTCAAACAGAAATCCTTTGAGAAGTGGGGTGGAGCCGCTGGTCTCGAGGCAGAGATTTGTCGTCGCGTCATCAAGGCTAACCAACGCTATGTACAAAAGCAGAATTCGGACAAGCCCATGAAAAAGCGACCCAAAATCATGCATCAATCAACACGTCCAACGGACGATCCAGCCCTTGTGGTATCCCCTTTGCTTTCCAATCTCCCCATTGGCTTTGTGCAACGCAAGAGCAAATGCATTAGGATGGTTGGCAATACGTACCCTTTGCAGACTGCAATGTGGCTAACTGTCACGCCCGTGTTCCGTTTTGTGACAGCTTTGGTCACCTGTTGATGGAGCATGGTGTCTTGAGAGGGCCCGGCACAAACCTGGAGCCCGTGAACCACCCTCGGAGTTTGTATCTGGACCTAAACGATGTTGTGGGGCTCCCAACCGAGCTGGTCCATTGCTTCGCCAATGCTGACTTTTCTCAGTTTCGCAACCAAACTGGAGTCGTTCTAGCAGGAGTGGTCGACAGCGTCTTTCGTCCAAGACAAAATGGTGACCAGTTGACAATTGTTTGTCATGATGATTTCACCCGCAGCTTCTTTGAAAATGCCTCGACGGTGACGGCCTATTGCAAGACTGGAAACGGTCATACTGCCCATAAGGAGCTCTTCGATGTTGCTGGTGGTGACGCTAGTGGATATCATGCAACTTTTTGCAAGGAAAACCTCCTCGGGGAGCTCGTGGTTGCTCTTGGGTTGACGCAAACGTCCCCCGTTCAGTTTCTTGCTGGGATTCTTGCTCATATGTACTCGGCAAAGTTCTTGAAGTGCATGTATATGGAAGACGGCGTCGACGATCCCCGCAATCGTGGCTTTGAGGAAGTACGTCTCCTCAAAGAAGCCATTTTGATGCTGAAGGCGGCACAGAATGATGAGGACGACGACGAACACGAAGACAACTTTTGTGGTTGTGGGTGGTGCCGCTGAAGACGAAGAAGACGACTCTCGTTTGGGGCACTCTTTGTTCAATCGTGTTGTGAGTTCTTTACGGTATACAAGTGAGGCTGAGTGCTGAAAGTGGAGGAATGCACATGGAGGTCAGTCAGTCTCCATTGCAACTACAAAGTGTACATTACGGTAGTAGATTCCAGCAGCGTACACTGTACTGGTACCGGTAAAAGCAGTAGACTGTCACACAAAAATTCAGGTACCATTACTAATGCAAAACAATTCGTTTTTCTCCAATTTGCCCCCGATCCCAACGGACCCCTACTACCAGGAACCAGTCTGGTACCAGTACCTTGGTAGCTAGCTAGTACCGCACCCTCTATGGGCCAAAATTCCGCAACTTCCACGCGGATTTTCAGCCATTTCCACGTTCCACGATCTCGGGATGAAGAAGCGTGGAGCGCGGTGTGCATTGTTGAAAATTTGGTTTTAGTACATGTATACTCTAGCTAGCTACTAGCTAGTAGTCTGTTATGCTTGCTGCCGATAGCTTAGCTTAGCGCCTGAAAAGTTCAGTGTCGTAGGCTGATTCGTACACACAAAACAGTACGCGTACACAGTGCAGCCAAAATAGATCCACTGCCTGAAGTTATTGCTCACACAAAGCTACATTTCTGATGGCGCCAATATCTGTCTTACTGGAGTTTGTACCTGTCAATGATGCCTGGATCCACGTACGAGGTACCGGCGCACCACTTGCCATGGAGGCAACCATGGCAACCAACTTTGTGGAGTGTGCAAAATGGATTGCGAAAAAACGACCTGGACTTGTCGGGAAGGACGCGTTTGTCAGCTTCTTGCTTGGGGACTTTGGCAGCCATACTGTCCAGTGCTTGAATGGAACTTGGCCGAAGGCGCATCCGTGGACCGTCGCGAATTCTCTATGCTATGATCGGCCCATCCTCGTTCGCTACGGAAGCATTGCTGAAGAGCCATGTGCCATCGAGATCACAGTACAAGGTCTACCAGAAGGTGCCATTTCTCTGAAGTGCTTCCCTGCAGTTACAACTGTGTCCTGTCTGAAGGCATTGCTTGTGAAGAAAGGCGTCGTTCCCGAAGATGAAATCGAGTCCTTTAGCTTGGCACGCGAAGGTCTATCTTTAGTCGAGGAAGACAAAACCTTGCAGGTGTATCATATAAATCGTGATGCCTTTCTTAGCATCAGCTCCAGGTCCCCGCACAGTCGCTTCCCCGCTGCCCCTGCCACGGCTCAAATCTTCGTCAAGACAGTGACTGGCAAGACAGTTGTCTTTTCTAAATTTGGTGCACAATCGACCGTTTATGATGTCATGTGCTGGATTTGCAAGCATGAAGGCATCCCTGTAAGCAAACAGCGTATCAATTTCGCTGGAAAGCAACTCGAAGATAGTCGAGCACTGTTGGATTGCAACATCCAGCGGGAGGCTACATTGCATCTCACTCTGTGTCTTCAAGGAGGTGGTCAAATAGGAGCAGAGTTTGTTGATGTCACTCGTGAAGATGCCATCCAGGCGCACGCCTGGAGCTTGTTTGCTCCTCGATGGCGCACTGCACGTCTTGGATTATCAATTGAAGGTCGCTGCAGCAACAGGGAGTGCCGTGCCTACGGAAAATTGTTCATTGACAACATGGGCTTATCCAGCTTTGACCTAGTGTTAGATCAATTTTGTCATTGCCCACTCTGTCATGTGACTGCTGCTGCCATCAAGCCTGGGTTTAATAACTGTCTGTGGAAAGTTGTCGCCATCAAGGAGAATTCTTTGTCTATATACAGAACGCCCTGGAATCGCGCAGGAGACATGTACACAACCTATGATGAGCACATCGCAGGAAAGGCCAACTACTCTCGTCTTCAAGTCTTTGTACGTGCTCTCCCAGAGTGTCGGTATGCGGACCATGATGGCAACTTGTGCAATCTTGAAAAGCAGGAGAACTGCCCCATCTGTCTTGATAATCTTGACAACGGAGAACAAACTTGCAAGTTTGACAGCACTGAGTGTGGGCACTGGTATCATGCGGATTGTATTGCCAAGTGGAGGGCTGCCCGAGTCCACTCACCAGGTGGATGCTACTGTCCCATTTGTCGTGCTGAGGAATATTCAGAAATATCGGATAGTTCGGAATGAATGAATGTAATCACTGGCAGTGACGGCGACGAGAAGTAATGATACATCGCCTTGGCTGTTTAGTTGCACGGTGCTAGTACACGTTGTTGGAGGCTGAAAAATGAATGTATAGCATGATAATATACCACCGCAGCCAGAAAAACTTGTACCGGTACTCTGAGTAGATTAACCTCTTCTGCCGTGTTCAGCTCCAGCTGGCTGGCTAGTAGATCTGAGCTTGATAAATGGGAGTTACTATGGATTAGAGAGAGCTAAGATGAGGATGGGGACAGAGCTCGAGGGGGGGGGGGGCACGATGCATGAACGCAAGGCAAGCAATCAAGTGCACAAGCAGGGCAACATGGAAACCAAGGAAAGTGGTGAAGGCAGGAGGGCAGGGAGGAGCAAAGGAGCAAGACTAGCGGAAGAGATCTGAGCTTGATACTGTGCGGTTAGAGTGGACATGGAGCCACTACAGTGAACCGGTACTACGGTGTGCCATAGGCTCTTTCGCGACTAAAAGACCCTTAATCGACTTCCACGATCGAACATTCCACGATCTCATGAAGTGCGCAAAGACACCAAGAAGCGTATCTGTTATCAGCTTTGGACAGCAAAACTAACCATTGGATTTGAAAAGCACCCTTTACTCGATCTTCAGGTGCGGATGGAGATGGCGTGGAAGAGGAAGCGGAGGACGAGGCAGGGGAAGAAGAAGCCGCTGCAGCCAAGGCAGCCTTTGATCTCAAGGCATATCAGCTTTGATGCCAAGCCCATGATTAATTAAGGTCATCAAAGAAGTTAGAGCATTGGCAAAACTTGGATTGAAGGAAGAAAAGGAAATGGTGGAAGGTGCACCAAAAGCTGTCCTGAAGGATATTAACAAGGAACAGGCAGAAGAAATGGCCAAGAACTGGCCAACAAACTGGAAGATGTGGGTGCTACGGTCTAGCTAGGTCGTGTAGCATGTAGATAAAATGCAGTAAGAACAGCTATCATAGAACTTGTAGCCAGCTAGTCAAAACATGTCCATCAGCGAGTACACGGAAGAAAACCAAGTGGCCAACAGCAACCTCCCAGTCTTTTGGCTGGCTGCCCAGAGCTACAGGTAGCTAACGAAGGTAGACCCTGCATTACATGTAGTGTGCTATCTGTATACGGAACCTTGCGAATCCAATCGCGCCTCCTTCCATTCCTTTGTTGTTTCCGTGGATGGCATGCTGGCCCCCCAAGCCAAGATTCTTCTTCAATGCCTTGCTTCTGCGGCTGCCAACAAAACACAATTCTCCTACTCTCAAATGATGTTCTTCATGCAGACCCGCATCTCTATTGCCCTAGTGAAAGCTGCCCATTTATGTCTTCGCGGATCCCGCAAAGCCAAACCCTTTGGCCCCCGTACTGGTCCTCCATTTCTTGCCCCTGATCCCACGGAACCTAGTCCTGAATTTCGCCTCTTCTTTGCTTAAGCCTGGCCCTGGCTGGCTTCGGTAGATAATCCACCTACTCTGACCTCACCAACTGACAGGTTGGAGCTAAGTTTAAGCCGGCAGCGCGGCTTTATCAGAAAATGCTAAGACAGCATTGGACCCGGTACCCATAGGACAACACACCAGATTCTCGACACCCGGCAAAGAGTTTGACCTAGCAGAGTGCTTTGCATTCCTCAGAAACCATTCTTCTGCTTATATGGAACCCACCATGGCGACCTACAAGCAACGAAGAACCCAAGAAATGTCAAAGGAGCACCCTGCTTCTGCTTCTGCTCCTGCTCCAGCTACCAGCAGCAAGTTCTTGTTGGAGCCTGTGTCGGCCTATACCACTGGCAGCAGGTTCTTTCTGGAGCCAACCAAAGGAAGTTCCAGGCAGCACCTATCCACCTTGATTCTCATGGCACTGGGTATCGCTGCCACGCTTCGCCTCTTTTTTCACCAACTCCATTGCGATGATTCCATCTTGCTGCGCAACCTTGCTAGCAGGTCATCCGAAGAATCTTGTGTTTTGCCACCTCTCCCTCCCATTCAGACACGCCAAGACATCGCACTGGTGTTGGAGCAGATGAATTTCACCACAGGTATTGAAATTGGAGTCCAACAAGGATTATTTGCTGAATACAACCTCAAATTTTGGCCATCATGTCGAAAGTACAAACTTGTGGACCTTTGGAAACAACAACCGAACTACTTTGATTCAGCCAATTTGGATAACTTAGTGCATGAGACCTTTTACCAGGCAACCAAGGAACGTCTCAAGCCATGGGAGGGATTTACAGAATACTACCGAATGTACTCCAGTGAAGCTGCCAAACTCATTGCCAAGGAGGGTGAACAGGTGGATTTTGTCTATGTGGATGCCAGGCATGATTACTGTGGTTGCAAGGAAGATATTGAAATGTACTGGCCTTTGGTCAAGCCAGGAGGGATCCTTGCTGGACATGATTTCATGGCAAATTATGAAGTTGCACCACAGGACTGGTCGGTTTGTATGGATGGTTCAATTCATCCTGAAGCAGTCAAAGGTGCAGTCATGGAGTTTGCGAACAAACACAACCTGCCAGTGGGAGTGACATACAGAGAAACCCATTGGAACTCTTGGTGGATTCGCAAGCCACTTTGCTGAAAACAACTCCTATTGTAGCTAGTTGTTTACCGGTATGTACAACTAAGGAACACAGTAAGTCTTAGCAAGCATACCAGTTGGAGCAGAGAATTTCCTGCTAAACATGCGAAAGCAAGACCCCATTCCACCGTGCCATTGCCCACATATGCGCTCATAGAATGACACAGCAGGCAGCCTGCTGTTGTTCCTCTTGATTCTTCTGATCCTGTTGTTGTTGAAGCTCCGCTTCTGCTTCGAGATTGGACAGAACATCAATGGCCGTCGCGAACGTTGCAAGCTTCTCCAGCTCGCGGGCAGCAGAATCTTGTCGCGCTAGTTGACTTGCACGGAGGTCTTTGTTGCCTTCCTCTACATTCTCACCGACATCAAGGAGTTGCGAATTTCTAGCAGGTGCCTTGGTCCTTTTGCTGGAGCTGATTGGAGGCTCGTCATCATCCAAGTCCGAATGAGGGTTCTTCTTTGGCTCTGGTGTTTTTGTTGTTGGATCCTTCGATTCCGGGCTTCTTTCCGGACCAGCATCCTCTGAGTTTCTAGAAGTGATGACTTGGGCTCCTGACTTGGAAGCATTGTTCTTGCTATTGTTCTTTGCTTTTGTTGTTGCTGCTGCTGTTGCTAAAGACTTCAAAGGCCTTTGCACTGCCTTCCTCCTTCGCATCATCGCCAAACACTCCAAAGTCAGGTGTCACACACGACGTATCCAGATTAGCTGATTCATGCAATATTTCATCTTGGTTCTTATCAAGACTTCCAAAGACCTCATCAATGTTCATGCTCTCGTTGTGAGGCGCTGTACTCGGGATCTCAATGGATTGACGACGCTGCATTTGATCAACGTGGCCAATGGACCTCCTGTTGTACGATCTGTCGTGACTACTATTGTATCTTCGGCTGGATCTGTCGAGATGACTGGGGCGAGGACGCATTTCCTCTGCCGATATGGAACGTCTCGGTGGTCCTCTCCTACTGGAGCTCATTCCCATTGGTCTGGACCGCCGCCGTTTTCGACGCTTCACACCTGCTAGCTTATCCCGCGTCTTGCGCCACTTTTTCCAGTCAAAGTATCCAATCTCAGTAAAGTACAAGTCGTCTGCCTGTGACTTGGGCATGACCTCCAAAAGTGCCTCCATGTCCGTTTTGGATGGTGGCGACGAGACAATGGATTTGTCGGAGCTCCCCTTCTCCTTCATGCTGGATCGGCTAGATTTGCGGCGATTGTTGTGGTTGTCTACACGTTGCTGACTCCCCCCGCTAGAGTCATTCTTCATAGTGTTGTCCATCATTCGTTCCGGCATGCTAGCATTTAGATCGCTCGGTCTTTTCTTTTCAGAACGTCTTCTGTCCTTTTGACTATCACGAGGGCGTCCGCCACCACCATCGTCACCCAAATCCATCCCCACCGGCATGCTGGCATTCATGTCTGTTCGCCGTCTTCCCTTTCGGCCATGATGATTGTTGTTGCTCTGTTTGATATTTAGTGGATCTTCACCACCGCTGACACTGCCAGCGTCCAAACGACTTGGCATGCTAGCATTCAAATCTGAGCGACGTTTCCCTCTATTGTGAGTCTTGCTCTCGTTGTCAAGCTTCTTGCTTCCATTTTTAGGATTGCTCTTGTCATTTTTAGGATTGCTTTTCTTGTCATCAGCGCTTGTTTTCTTTGTGCTGCTGGGCGGACGCGGTTTTCGCTGGCTCCGACCTTCCTCGTGGGTGTGGTGGTCTAACCGGTCGGGCATGCTGGCATTCAGATCCGGTTTCTTACGTCCTCGTCGTGGTCTTTCACGGCTTCCACGACTTGCATGGCTTCCACGACTTTGGCGGCTCCCACGGCTGCGACTGCCCAGGCTACCCCCACTCTTATTGTCGTCTTCCACAAAATCCAACCGATGGGGCATGCTGCTGTGAAAATCCTGTTTCTTGCTGGAACGGCGTTTGTTGCTGTTGTCGCTGTTCTTTTTATCACCGGCTGCACCTTTGTTACCAGCAGTACTTTTATCACCAGCAGTGCTTTTATCACCAGCAGTGCTTTTATCACCAGCAGTACTAGAATCGTCTCTCTTGTCGCCGTGGTGTTTATTGTTGGCAAATGGCAGACTCAAGCCACCAGGCATGCTGTTGTTGAGAGATTTCATAATGCGGGAGGGCATGCTCTCATCATTGTCGTCACTAGTAGAGAAATGTTGCAAACTCTGACTCATGGCTTCCTCGTGATTCTTTTGGTTGCTGTGTTTTGTTTCGGGTGGGTTCATAATCCCCTCCAAAGTGTCTATGAAAGATCCCTTTCGGTTCTGGGGGTGTCTGGTCTTTTGTCGTGGCATGGCGGTGCCTCCATAAGGCGCTTCCTTCTTGCTGCTGCTGCCACTACGAGATTTGTGGTCCTTGCTGCTGCTACTAGATTTGTGATCCTTGTGGCTCTTTTTCTTGCTCGCCCCTCGAGGCGAATTGGTTGGTAATTTGGGCTTGCCTCCTCGCGTTGGATTTCCAGGTAATCGTTTGGGTGAATTTGGTGGACTCCTTTGTGGACTCCTGGGTGGACTCCTTGGTGGACTCCTCGTCCTTTCTTTTCGCTTGGTCTCCTCTTTTTTGGGTTGTCCAGGCGGTAATCCCGGTAGTTCTGGTTCTGGCTCTGGTCCTTCTTCTTCCTGAGGATTTGACGCTTTGCTCTTGTTAATAGAGTTGTCTGTTTTGCCACTGCTACTACCGACATGTGCCTTGGGTGGCTGGGTCTTTTTGGAAGCATTCTGTAGCGGGAACAGCACATCGGGAAACTCGTTAGGCCCCGCATCGTCCCCAGCGCTGCTGTCACTGATTTCACTGCCACTGTCGTAGTCGTCAGCAGTAGAGTCGAGGTTGGACCCTGTCATGTCAATAAGAGCTTCTCCCAAATTGTTTCTCGCAGCAAACTAACACAAAAGATGACCGTCCAACATTTCGATGATGCTGCCTCCAGGCACCCTTATGCTTCGATACCGTACTGAGAAAATTATATGCAGATTCTATCGCCAAGGCACTGCTTTTAGTTTCATGACTAGCTAGCGAGCTTGTCCTGTTCCTGCCCAACCAGTTCCGAGTCTCAGTTGAGAGATGATGTGGGGGGTCGATGGCTGTGGCTGAGCCTTTCCCAGTGGTTCCGGTTTGGCATGCCAAAGAAGAAAGCTGTGGAAAGAGATTGTGGTCTCCAGTCTTGTAAAAGCTACTTAGGGTTTTTTACCGCTACGACCTTAGAGGCTTAACTGCGTCAGCTGCCAGGTTTACTCCTTTCTTCTTTCACCAGGATAAAGGATCTCCATTGCATATTTAATATGCTGTGAACTGGTACCAGTACCACTGTTGAAGACCAACCCAAAATGGTACGGATACGCCTCAAATAAAAAGCTGCACGGTACTGAAAATAGCAGCACCCCACAGGAGTACATGTATGTTGGAAAGTTGGAAAACTTGGTGGTGCCTCTGCGAGCAAAATCCATCGACACGGGTCCGTACCGCTATTACAGTCCAGTATACAATACACCAGTCACGGAACACCTGTATGAGTGGTCCTCATAGTCGAGAGATGGAAATTCTCTGATTTCAAAGCAACAGTGCTTACCAGGCAGCGCCCTAACTAATAGGAAAGCATGAACCTTTGTTGTCCGTTTCTGCTTGTTTGGGGCATACCGGTAGCCAGTCGACAATTGGACGGAGTGAACCATGGAGGCTCAAGAAATGCCATTTTGGCGAGGTCCACCACCATGTCAATTCTATCTCCCTCGACAGAAGCTGTAATGAAGTGAATTGCTTTTTGCCAGAGCGTCGTCTTGCCCAAACCCTGATGACTGTGAGCCTAAAGCTTTTTTACAAGTGGGATTGCGGTCATACTGGGAACTTTAATTATCCCAGTCACTCTTGAAGCGTGGGAGTGAAGAGTCAAACTTTTTCACCTCCAGGTACCGTACCTGTCAGGCGTTGAATCGATGGAGCTTGTGGTGTTGCCACTGCTCTAGTACGGTACTGTAGTGTCTCAAGTTGACACAACCGTCGAAAATGAAACAACCAAGCGTGTGGTTCCGCCTAATTAACAGTTCGGAAGTATTGTACATGTATAGCAAGGGTGAGCAAATGGTTTCAACTTGCTTTTCGCATTCCCAGACTATTTTAAAAAATAGCCCAGTCTGCCAAGGACTGCCTGAATTGCTGCCCCAGGACGTCCAATTTTATATACTTAGCTCGATAAGCTACTTGTACAGTTGCTTTCTATGCTCATCTTCCAAGTTGCCACTTCGTTCTAAAGAAACAGGATATTTCAACGGTTTGATTCGAGTAACTAGGTTGTACAGTATGTCTATGAACATTTTTACTAAAGCACCAAGAAGGAGGAAATTCGAACGTCGAATGTCAACACCGCTACTTCGTCGTTGTCGACAATGTAGATGTCTTCTGGGAACCCATAGTCGGCGTTGTAGGTCACTTCGACGTATGGAGCCTTGCGATCAAGAGCCGTTCGAATGCGTTCAAAGAATCCTTCCATGAACTGAGGGTGCCAAGGCTGGATCTGGTTGCCACGACGATCATGCATTGTCACCTGTCGACCATGAACCGTCACAGACAAAGGAAACTCATAGTATTGTCCCATGGAGTACTCTGTGTATTGGTAAGAGTATGATTGAATATTGTGAGACCTCCAACGAAGATTTGCGTCCACTGCTTGTTCCAGCTTGCTGGGGGCAACTTGGTTTTTGTTTTGCGTGCCAATGACAGCAAAGTTGGACACTTCCACATGGTAGAGGCCGCCGTCTTCCATGTCCATCAAGATGCTCTCGGGATAACCATACTGAATATTGTAACGAGCAACAAGCTCTAGCACATTGTCGCGGTCAAGCTGCCTCTCGATGGTTGCAAACAACTTATCCATGTCTGGTGGGTATGCCCCGGGGACATTTTGCTTGTTGCCATCAATTGCCGTAGTTTCTTGTCCATCTTGGACTTTAACCCTCCACGGATAGACCGTGTTTGCCGGATCATTTCCCGTCCCACTGAGCTTGTAGTATTCAAATTCATAGTTGTCGATCCCTTGGGAATCCCAGAGTATCTTGGCTCTATCGAGAGCGTCTCGTTCCTGCCAGAACAGATCCGGTGGGCTTTCAGCCATTGCCACTGCGTTCTTGGCGACAAGCAACACAGACATGCTCAAGATGTTGGAAATAGACTTCATTGTTTTAAAATGTAGTTTGTATCGATTTGTTGTGTGGTGATTGTGGGATTTTTTATGAGACAGCATTGTACGGTCTTGAGAGAGCGAAGAAGGAACCAGCTCTGAGAACAAGCAAGGAAACGCCAATGCCAAGCAAGCTCGCTGTGAAGCATGACTCGATTTTGAGTCCCTCTTCAAGAAGGACTTAACAAGTTGCAATCACAGACCGTGCGCCACAGGGCAACTCCCACGTATCGGTGCTATTTCTGCAGCGCGGGAAGTTGGGCAGAACGCCAAACAACGCAGTGACCAGTCCTAACCATACCAAAATGACGGCACCAACTTCGTCTTGTTTTCTTCTGTTCGACATCGTCCCAAAACACCCTGCAATGTAAGGGCTACCTCGACATTCTGCGTGCAATTTCTAAAGAGAACGAAGGAAAGGGTGCGCAACCGTCCCTCAAACTCCATCCTGGCCCAATTTTGCATTTCAGGCGTCGAAGACGGAAATTGTGTTCACGGGTGTCAACCAAAATGGACGACAACAGGCATCAATCAATACCAAGACTCATGGTTGTTGAGATTCTAGGTGTTTGGCTAGATCATCCACTCGGTCCCGTGTCGGTTGTTGTGGTTGGTCCTTCCAGTTATCTTTTCGGTCCCATTCCTCGACAATGGCTTGGGCAATGTGCCTACCCCACAATTCATATCCCTCGTCATTTGGATGCACTCGGTCGACTGAAATCAGCGGAGACCGATGCAAATGTTGCAACGGTCCCTGAATATCTGGGCCAAATGCATCGTACGTGTAGGTGGCCTCTTCTTCTTCCACGTCGACCGTCCACATATCGTAGTATTCCTTCATGAGTTTTTCGAGCTGCTCGAGACGCGCCTTGTTGGTGAGCTCAAACAAGACTTCTTCTCGGGAGCTGGCTTCCCATAAGGGTCCACGCTTGTTGGTGAAATCCTTGATGGTTTCATCATTCGGTGCTTCCAAGAATAGAACCGGTGCCGGATATCGTTCGGCTAGTTTCTTCTTTTGATACTCCATGAGCCTGATCATGGGCTCGGCAAAGAAGGACAGAGGGTAGATTGGTTCATTGAACATGGGTGCTGCCGGGAAAACTACAATGGGATGATGTCGACGCCTTGTGTTGTCGTCGTTACCGGAATTTTGGTTGGATTCAGGCTCCCCGTTGTTGACTGATGCCTTGGCATCACTAGAGTCTGGGGGTTTCGGGTCGTCCTCCTCCTCCTCTCCATAATTTCTCATTTTGCCCTGGAGGGCTCGCATGATACCCCAGAGATCTCGTTCGAACCATGCACCTTCACCAGCACTGGGTTGTTTGTCTTCCTCCTTGGCAGCGTCCGGATCCTCCGGCAGTGGGAAAATGAGATATTTCAAATCATTGAAACCCGTAATGACAACGGCAACATCGTATTGTGCCACCAAATCGGGTACCACCGCGTTGCGTCGTTGCGGTAGGACGACGGCAGGTTCGGGTATTCGCCTGGCGATTGTCATTCGTCTCCGGATGGACCGTCCAATATTGCCTAAATCTTCCAGATCCCTGCGAGCCACCGATCTGGTTTTATCCCACCATGCTCGGACCCTTTTGCCCGGTCCTTGTCGCTCTCCTTCTGCTTGTTGTCGTCGTTGTTGTTGCTCTTCCCTTTCTTCCTGTTGCTGCAATTGCAGTCTCTTGTCCCACCAACCCCTCAGTTCTTCCATGACGTTAATTTTTTCTTCCTCGCTTATTTCGTTTGTTTCTTCTTCTTCTTCTTCTTCGGCCAGCAGCAATTCTTTGACAATTTGGGGAGAGGACAATCCTGGTTCTCCCATACAGGTCCAGTACACGGCTCTTCCGCCCAATGCACTGGACAGAGTTTTGGCAATGGCCTCGGGTAACACTGGAGTCCCCGATTTGGTCACTCCCACTCCCGCCGCCAGAGAATCTCCCACAATCAAGAGTCGAAGGGGCTCTGGATTCTTAGTGCTGTCATCGTCGCTCAGGAGGAGAGATTTCACCCACGCCGACGAGAAGGATGCCGGTCTCCCCGGGGTAACAGCCACCACGGCACCCGAACAGGGCATTTCGGGAAAAGGGGCATCCCGATGATTCCGGCGAAATTCCTCTAGTAGTAAACTGGCCTGGAAAATGGCCACAAAGGGACTGGCCACTGTGATACCCACGGCACTCCGAACGGCGTAGCGGAATACTTGCTCTCGAAAGGCGTTGGCACTACGATACGGCATGATGCTTTAAATATCCCCAAGATGATGATGAATGCTCTTGTAGTGGTCTTTCCAGTGCACTGGCAATCGAAAGCTCCCGGAAAGTCTTTCGGGGAGATTCCAAGAGAGTCGGTACCAGTTAGGAGAGCAAGTGACTCTCTCCGTCGCTTCTCAGGCTCAGCTCCTCACGGGCCTCCTTTGTCACTTATCTAAAAGCAAAGCTCACAAAACTACCGGTAGCCCCTAGCTAGTAGAGTGGCTGGGGGTATTCTCTTTTTCCGTCATGGTCTATTGCTCTAGACTAGCTAGCAAGGTTCGCAAAATCCAAATCCAATCCTTTCTGTTGGCGGCAAGACGGCAAAAATCTTCCGAGTGACTCGTCACTCGGAAGATTTTAGTCGAGTCCAGTCCAGAAAAGCCCTCTCCCTATTCGACTTTGGTTCACCCCGCCCGTGAATCCATGTTCAGCAATTCTTGGCTTGACGGGAAGCAGTTGCATGTACCTAGTAGCCAGTACAGTACAGACCATGGTAGCAGCTGTCAAACCAGAAAGCATTTGCTGTGCAAACAGTGCCGGGAAAGTTGCAAGTTGTTTTATCTTTCCACTTTGCACAAGTCTCGTGAAAGTTGAAATTGTTCTACAAGTCTTGTGGAGTTCTGGAACCCCATTGGAGCAGGAACGTTTACATGTACAGTACCGGTACCAGACTGTGCCAACAAAACGATTCGACATAATATACACACTTTCTTTTGCGTACGGACAGTCTCGTAAGAAGACTCTAGGTATTTAGCGTTTTTAAGGTTGGCAAAACATCCGTCGATCCTTCGGGACTTCCAATACCAGTAATAGTTCTCAACAACGTCCTCTTTCTCTTGCGATTGACCCAGTCACTGACTGGCTTCTCGTGGACAGCAGTTGCCTCAACTGACTGAAGATTTTGGAGGACAAACCGTTTTAGTTGATTCGAAATTCGAAGTGCCCCACGTTACTCGCCGCTATCGTTGGTAAGATCGAAAAACAAAGAGCACACCACCACTTGCTTTTCCCTGCTTGGGACACGAATGCTAAAGCTTGTGGTGAAGGACTTGAAGCCTGAATGAACAAGGGATAATCGCAAGATTGTGGTGGCCTTTCCGATCGATCACTCCCGGGCAAAAAATGAGAGGGTTGCAGTCATGCATGACACTTGGGAATGAATCGGGTCGAGTGAGTCGAACCAGTCAGTTCACACTCCAGGTTTCAAGTGCTCGCTCCGATCTTTGCTCACAAAACGCAAAAGCAAAAAGCATAAAGCAAACATCAAAACACAACCATCTAAACACAAACACACAAACAGCATCAACTAAACAACACATCATGTTTATCAGACAAACGACTCTATCAGCAATCGTTTCTACAGTGGCACTTTCCTCGATTGGTGCAGATGCCTTTGGCCTGCGGGGAATTTTCCACCATGCAAAAGCCAAACAAGAAGAGCCCTCCACTGCACGAGTCTCCATCTATCTACCTCCAACCAAGACATCTCCGCAAGTAAGGTCAGATTCCTGGATGTCCACACTAGTAAATGATGATTCACTATCCGAAGAAGAAAAGCGTCAACTTATTGGCATGGCCTCTCTCTACTTTGGAACGAACGGCACAAACTGGAATATTAGCACCAACTGGCTTAGCCACGATGTCAATGAATGCGACTGGTACAATGAAGCATCACCAGCTTGTAGCGTCAATGATACCTTGATTCAAATGAGCTTGAGTGAAAACAATCTGGTGGGGTTCTTGCCAGCTGAGGTCTCGTACCTGGGAAACCTCCAATTGCTGGATTTGTCCCAAAACCACATTCAAAGTGAAATTCCCAGTTCCTGGCAGAGCCTGGAAGATCTTATGGTGTTGAATCTGTTTAACAACACTCTCACAGGATCCATCAATGGGAACCTTGCTTCTCTACCAAATTTGACAAAATTCAATGTGGGACACAACAACTTCACCAATTCCTTACCATCTGAAATCGGCCTCTCCAGCAGCCTCGTTTTCTTTGATGCCGGTCAGAACAAGTTGAATGGAACTATTCCAGCTATCATTGGCAATGTGTCCACATTGGAACACCTCATGCTTCACCAGAACAACTTCTCAGGTTTGGTCCCATCGGAAATTGGTCTGTTAACCAACTTGCATACACTCTGGATATCTGACAATGTCAAGTTAGAAGGGACAGTGCCAAATGAGTGGGAGAATCTTGTGAACTTGACCTCTCTAAACTTGGAAAATACTGGTTTGAGGGGAACCATCCCTACCAAGCTTTGCAATGTTCCAGACCTGATCTTCACATGTGGCTTTTTCAATTTGTGTGGATGTGGTATCTGCAAGTGTGGAGACGCACCGACAGCAGCTCCATCGGTCACCCCTAGCCATTCTCCAAGCAGTTCCCCTTCTATGGCCCCATCAAGATCACCATCAAGATCTCCCAGTAGAGCTCCCTCCGTGGCTCCTTCGCTTTCAGAGTCCCCTTCCAATGCCCCTTCCGTGGCTCCTACTTTGTCAGAAGAGCCATCCTCTTCTCCAAGTGGGGCTCCTACTTTGTCGGAAGAGCCATCCAATGCCCCTTCTGTGGCGCCTACTTTGTCAGAAGAGCCATCCTCTTCTCCAAGTGGGGCTCCTACACTTTCTGAACAACCATCAAGTCTTCCCACTGCTGCTCCGTCACCGGCACCTTCAAAATCAAGTACTTCTGCTCCTTCACGTGAACCTACCAAAGAACCCACCAACAAGCCTACATCACAACCTACAGTTTCTACATCCAGCCCTACTGAAGAGCATACACTACAGCCTACTGTGCCTGCACCAACTCCAACAACTGAACCTACATCTC